AATAGTTCAATTTTAATTAAAAATATGGGTAACAGGATATTATTTGAAGCGTGAGCCCCCCCCCTCCCCCCCCCCATATAAATGGCAAAAACATGATAAATTATTCGATGAGCATTTTTAATAAATATTAGATCCCCTGGGGCTTCAGTTGACAAGTCTGTGGTGGCTTGTTGATTAGGAGGTGTTGGCCACCGACCCTCTCGACGTTACCCGGGGAATACAACTACTGGACGCGTCCTGCGTGGGCGGACAAGGGATGTCCTCGGTACCTGCGTAAATAAAACAGCACCTACAGGGCTGCCAGTTGTGACACTTCACAATTAGAAGTAAAGGCAGAGACAGGGTAGGGATCATGATTACAAGTTGCCGTTAATGGATATGAGGCGAGAGGCGAAGGTGGTAACCTCTGGCCGATGATTCTTACTACGCAGCCTGAGAAGCTGCTCCAAGGCAACCGTTTCGTCCCAGCTACATCGCAAATTAGTTGCGTTGTGGAAACCCATTGTAGAAACCCTCTCAAAGGGCGTCCAACGCTTCCCTGGGATGGGTGGGGGAAGATATTAGGACGTAAATGTTTCCATCCCGACTCCAGAGAAAGTCGATCGTGTGCAATGTGTGCAGACACAGTGTCGGACCGACCGTGCGTCTTTGGGTTAGGGCGGCCTCCAGCGGAACCTGGTCGAGCGGACTCGGGTGGGGGCTGTCCTGACAAAGTTTAACGGCAGACATTGTGACATTGCCAAAGACAGTGTACACATTGTTCAGTGTCAAAAATTCCGTGGCGTATCGAAAAGCCCTGACCTGCTGTCAAATCCTTTCCTTCACCTCCCAGAATATCCTCGTTGTCTAGGAAGTATATGATTCCAATCTCACCATCACACTCACTCTCTCTCTCTCTCTCTCTCTCTCAGATAACACAAGGTCCAAGGTGCACTAACAGCATTTATTCCTTAGAGGCTATAAAATCACAGGGTAATGTGTACAAATATAATTCCACGGAATGCATCACAGAATTGCAGTGATATATCCACGAGCAAATCCACGCGACCTCTCCGGTCAAAGTTGTATCTCGCCCTCTCAACATAATAATCCTTGATCCTAAGACTGCCCGTGAATGTTCTACTGCCCGTGAATGTTCTACTGCCCGTGAATGTTCTACTGCCCGTGAATGTTCTACTGCCCGTGAATGTTCTACTGCCCGTGAATGTTCTACTGCCCGTGAATGTTCTACTGCCCGTGAATGTTCTACTGCCCGTGAATGTTCTACTGCCCGTGAATGTTCTACTGCCCGTGAATGTTCTACTGCCCGTGAATGTTCTACAACCCCACGCCCACTCTTGAGCTCACGCCTTATAGTCACTCACTTGTTTATTATTATCTCCCTGTCATCCAATGAACGTTTAGCCACAATATTATAACTCATGGCACAACTCATGGAGCAGCAAGTGCTCACACTGACACCAGTGTTTCTCATACCTTTGACGTTCCGTAGCTCGACAATACGGAAAGCCCAGTTTACCGAACCAGTTAAGGTGTTGGAATGTGATTCCGTGGCCTTTAGACCATTGAGTAAAAATCAAATTGGCCTTTGCGGCACTTTGCTTTACGAGCATTGCTTCGAAACATAAAGTGTTGACTGAATGCTGTGAGGAGCAGGTGGGTCAGTACAATGCTCCAGTTCATAAGTACTGTTTGAAGAAGCTAAGAGCTCCGTAGTTTCGAACTGCCCTGATTGTCATTGGTGAAGTTGTTGGTGAACTAGCTGAATTATGCAAACTGCAATAAAGAAAAAACCTCGCGATCAACGAGGCGTACCAGTTGGTAAAAGCAAGGATTGCTAAAATCCGTGGCCAGAACCTTGGTGAAAATCACTGGTCCGAAGAGGTTGCTGAATTGCTTGCAAAATGACGAGCATATAAACATGAGTCCTATCCTGAAATTCATGGAATGTTTATGCTTACACCTGAACTCTTGTTTCTGTGACAAGGGGAGTTGATGCAATGTCAAATCTTTGAGGTATCAGCGTTAATCAAACATTTCATCCTTTAATTTTTGCCAAAAAGAAATTGCAGCACTGGTTTCTAAAAATGCGGCATTCCTGGAAAACTATGATGACATTCTGTCGAAATTTAAGGATCAGTACCGTAACTTAAGGTTGGTGCTTGCAGAAAAAAATTAAATGTGGGTTGATGCAGACTTGATGGTTTCATTTGTAATAAATGAGGAGCAATTTGCGACATTGCCATTCTGTTGGATATTTGCGCTACACTTCTTGCACCAAGCGCCGATTGTGAACGTGGATTCAGCCTAAGGGATAATATAAAAATAACATCTAGCAATAGGCTGGAAAAGTAACATTTAGACATGCTTATGAGGATTAAATCATATCAGGATGATCGACGTCAGGTGAACCTTGACGATCGACGTCAGATGAACCTTGTCGATGTGAATATAAGTTGGAGATTGTTGAAAGACAGCACCAGAGTACCTCCAGAAATGACTAGCGGCCATTGGTGGCGGGTGTGTTGGAATGTATTTGCTTGACCCAGCGAAGGAATAGATAATAGAGATTAACACAGTTTTGATTGAACTATTGTGACATTTCTCATTATAATCATTTAATTATGCTTCGTTTATTTTTTTACCATAACATTTTGTGCACTTAAGTTCATTTGTGTAATTTCTTTTGTGTATGTGTGTGTGTGTGTGTGTGTGTGTGTGTGTGTGTGTGTGTATGTGTGTTTGTTTTAGGATGTAAAAATATTGCACACAAAAAATTGATGTTGTAAAATCTTTGCACACAACTGTACGATTTTGCACACGAACCAGCAAACCTTCGAGGGGACAATCTTTCAAAAGGAACGGTTGAGGCGACAACACTAGACACATTTGTGTCTATTGCCTCAAGCCTTCAAACCCCTAGTGCATGATTTCCTCATCAACACCAGTAACAGAAACATTGCAAATCCCATCTACATGCATAGGAGCCAAAATGATCAATAAATTGATCGTGGGCCCTTGAGATATAGAAGAAGAAGAAGAAGAAGACCATTGCTCCTGTCCACTGTCTGGACAGGTTTTAGCGTTGACGGAAAAGGACGTCGTGGTTGTTCCTGTACTAAGCGATCCCAAACGGCTTATGGTCTTGGCTTTTCTTGTTGACATTACACAGGAGCTGAATGTACTCACAAAGAAGTTACAATGCCAGGGGCAGCTTCTCAGTGTTGCCTATGACAATGTCAGGGCATTCTGCGCAATACTTGTGTTATCAAAATCCCAGCTTTCTCAGAGAAACCTCTGCCATTTCCCAACGTGCAAAGTACTCATGGACTCAGGCACGCCATTCAGTAAAAGTATTTAATATACTGATAACATTGCAAGGCTACAGGAAGAATTTGATCACATGTTTGCAGACTTCAAAACACACTTTTCACATTTTTGCTGACCCTTTCTCCGCCAATGTGGAAGATGCCCCCACCCCATTTTTTTTTTCGGCGCTTCAAATTTTAAGCTCTTTGATCTCCAATGCGATTCTGAACTCAGCCAAGTTCAGGAAGGGAAAAGGAAAAACAGACAATCATGGGCTATTTATGTGATCATTGCCCTCCACCTTCCCTGAGATTTCCAGGTTCCTTAAGCGGATCAAGAGCCCCTTTTTTGGGAGTACCTATCTGTGTGAAAATTCTCTTTTCCACTATTAACTTTAACAAGTCAAAGTTCAAACTTACAGATGAGCTCCTCCAAGCTATACTGAGGGTCTCAGTTGCTTCTTCACTCAAGCCAAATATTACTCAGCTGTGTAAGAAACAGCGATGCCAGGTCTCTGGCAACAAGGAGAAGGAGGAAGTAAATGAAGGCTAGGTCTTGAGAATCCTTAATGCTTTTATTTGTTATTATTAAAGGTTGAGCAGATTGTAACAGTTGTACTTTATTGACTTTTATTGTACTTTATTGTAATTGCTTTTTTTTTGTATGGAATACTTGTTGCGGCCCAGTCTCATTTAGACTCTACCTCCTGCTGCACCCGGATGATTTGAGCTTGAGACCCCTGTTACAATTAGTACGGATACCTTGGTCCACATATTTGGAGGGCTTATACTAATAATATGTTATCATAAAGTAAGCAAGTATTTTTTATTGTCAATAACAGAGGTCCTCAAACTTTTAATCAGCGCTCACAGAATTTCAATTCGAAAAAAAAAAGAAAAATGAATTTCTTTCTTTACAACATAGATCTTATTTTTAGAAATTATTCAGGAAAAATAGTATTTTAATTTTTTTTTTTTTTTTTTATTTTTTTTTTTTTTTTTTTTTTTTTTTTATTAAACATTTCAAAATGTGAAGTATTGGCCTGCTTTCGGCTAAAGAGATAATCGATGTCCGGCTAATTAGGTGTCTCTACTACCAGAGTACCGGTGCAGTGGACCATGTTAAGAACCCTGGTGGAACGGATGTGGCCCCGCGGATCGTAAATTTGGGAACCCCTGCACTACACGCAGGGCTCGCCTGAACGACTTCACTTTCTCTAATAATGACACCTCCCATGTTTTAGTATCTGATCTGTTGTCACGGTCTTAAATAGACCTGCTGTATTTAGATGATAGTGTCATGTTTGACATAATTTTTCCTGGTGATAACAGCTGCCACCTCCCAGCGGTCACTGAAGCGTGAGGCACACAACTCATTACACGTTGTAAATTGTAATACAAATATTTAAAATTCATGTAAATGTTGCTGTTTTCCTCAATGGCGTCGGAAGTCGGGGGCGGAGGGCTTGGTCCGCCGCCCGCCGCCCCCCCCCCACACCCGGTGGCTCTAATCCTCGCTACGCCACTGGTCCGACTTAGCTATGTGAAAGGTTTCTCTATTTTCTTAATTTCTTTTGTTGAGGTCCTCTAACGTTGAAAGTGTGGGAACCATGGACACGAACCATTTATCACATTATATAAAGTGTTGACCTTGTATCACTAAAAAAAACTATTTTAAGTTCCTCGTTTCCAGGCTCGGCCGTTAGATCGTTAAACACAACACAACACATTGTGTTCAGCAGTGACGTAAGCCAGTGTTGTTTATGAGTTGTTCTAGTCGTTACGAGAGATAACTAACATAAGACTCGATAATCCGATGGTTGCTATAGCAGTTTCAGGATGACTCGCTGAGGGCGAAGGGGGTGGGAATTCTTCAATGAAATTTGATATCTCAGTTCGTTGTGATATTGTCACTAGCGTGTGGGTGAGGTGAGTCTTCGACATTTAAACCCAGACGGACCAAAGGATATTCAAGGAGGATATACTATGTGCAACAGGTCTTTGATTTAAGGCAAGACTGGACATTGCCATTGGCTAGAACCCAAACATTGAATGATTCTATTGGAAATAACAAAGGACCTGATGGTGTTGTTTTTTAGAACACATAGAACCTGATGTTTCTATTGGTTAGCTTTTGTCAAGCAGAAGTCAAGATTCTGAAGTAAGAAATAAATAATTATGAATCATTATCGAGGTAATAACACGAGGCTAACTCTAAAACATGTAGATGCGTAACGCCTACCTGTAATCAAAACATCTAGTTCAACAAATGAGAAAATGTTATTTTATTTTTTAAATCTTGAAAAAAAAAAAAAAAAGTTATAACATCTGCATCTTCTATTATCTAATTGTTGTTCATTTGGCGGATAAAATGCAAGAATTTTAAAAGTCCAGTTACAACGTACACATCCACCAACAACGATAAAACACAACCATATGTTTCTGAACTTACAAAGCCTCATACCAACCCTACCTAACCCAATGTGATACATCTTTCATGTCCACTTCTTGACCAGATGCCCAAACCATACAAACGCGGGATCGCCCGGTCTCGCCCCGTCTTCCGGTTCGTGGTGGTGGGCGATGGACTGTGCGGCAAGACGAGCATGCTGGACGTCCTAAAGACGAGCACGTTCTGCCAATACTACCGGCCGACGGTCATTGAGTCGAGGACCGCTGAGATATGGGTCGATGATAACTTGGTAGGTCAGCTTGTTTTGTTTTGATCATCTTATTTTGACCACCTTAGCATCTTATTTTGGTCATGTGATTTTGGTAAACTTATGTGGATCATCTTATTTTGAATATCTTATCATGATATTTGGATTATCTTATTTTGAACATCTTACTTTGATCATCATATTGGGATAATCTTATTATCTTATTTCGATAATCTTATTTGGATCATCTTATTTAATCACTTATTACGATCATCTTATTTCGACTATAAAATCCTTTTATTTTGATTTTCTTTTTTTAGATCATTTAATTTGGATCATCATATCTGGATCACCTTATTTTCATCATCATATTTAGGATAGTCTTAACATCTTATTTGGATCATCTTATTTGGATCCTCTTATATACTTAAATAATTTTCTTAGACATTGACCATTTATTTGTTTATTGCGTTTAAAAAATAGTTTTTTGTGACATCCTTAATAATGTTCACAGACCACACCAGTGTTTCCTAGGCTGGAGTGTTCAGACTGTGGTACTAATTTTCCTTTTCATGCCTAAAATTAAGAAAATATTGTAGGTCACGGAATATTCACATTATGTAATATTTCAGAATGTATTCCAAGATTCGATCTAGACATGAAACCAACTGGAATTATCATTGGGGGGAAAAAAATATGTGGGAATGCTCTCTAAATGTAAACTAGGGGAAACAATACATCAATGCTTGACTGAATTGGTGTCGTGGTCTTTTGATGTCAGGTCGACCTGGTGATCACCGACACGTCAGGCCAGGATGAGAACGACAAACTCAGGCAGACGTCCTACAGCGGTGCCCACGTCGCGCTGCTGTGTTACAGCGTCAATGACCGGAACAGCCTGGAGAACGTCGTGGACAAGTGGAGGTCTGAGGTGAGAGTCTCTGACTGGCAGCGCTTGGCTAAGCGACCGCCATTCTTGTCTTGCTGTTATGTCAAGCTGATACTATAGAACATGTCACAAATCAAATATTTAGATATTAATTTTGTTTCACACACGCCACGTTTTCCTCCCCCACAGCTCACTGAGCACCTCACCAACGTCCCGGTGGTGTTGGTGGGCACAAAGACGGACCTGCGGGACGAACCGTCCATCACCAGGACACCTTTCATGACGCGCTACGTCCCCGTGGACAGTCAGGAACAATGGACGGTGGCCGAAAGGTACATCGCTGTCTTTCATGTAGACGTAATGAGCATGGAGCTCACGGCCCCCGTGTTGATCGCGTGTAGTGACAAGGCCAGGTCTTTGTTGATCGCGTGTAGTGACAAGGCCAGGTCTTTAGAACAGTTAGATCTCTGAACCCGGACGAGCTGTTGCAAAACTTTTAAGACTTAAATAAATGTTTAATATATTTTTCGTACTGAATTCAAATCATTCACGCTTTGGGTTACTCTAGCATGATGTACAGGTGTTATTATGATTTTAGCGGTCATGTACACATACATAAAGTTAGCTGACATGTACACACGCAGCTTTTAGCGGTCATGTATACATATATAAAGTTAACAGTCATGCACACATGTAGGTTTTAACGGCTATTGAAACATTCATTTTGTAGGGTACCTGCTTTTATAATCAATTATCTGAGGACGCATTCACCGCTGACTGTGTAATCGAGTCTCGTAACAAGTCTTTAACCCTTGCTTATCTGTCAATTGAACCAAGGGTCAAAGTTCAACAGTTTCATTACAGGAATGTGATCAGCCGGACCCTTAAAAAAACAACGATATATTTATGTCTGACATCAAAGAGACGATCTTTTCGTTTCGCTGACATTGTATCTGACACTTGGCCACCAATCAAACTGAACGAGCTTAAACTCATATAGTTTAACATTCGTCTTCATTCATTCCCAGATTATTTTTTGCCTTTCCTTATCAGCAGTTGAATTCATTATATTCCATAATTTCCCCATTTTTTTGTTGTTTTTTTCTCCAGGATCGGCGCCGCAGCCTGCGTCGAGTGTTCCGCCTTCAGCGCCGACTCTGTGTGTGGAGTCTTTGAGACGGCCACGCGCGTGGCGATGCTGAGGAAGGAGGCGGCCCAACCGAAGAACTACTTCCAGCGGCTCCGATCCAATCTCAAAAAATTCTTCGTGGTGAACTTCTGCTGCGTGCAGAGAACGGCCAAATATATGCGTGTGAACTCTTAAGGGGGGGGGGGGGGGGGGCGGGGGGGGGGGGGGGGGTCCACGACCTTCTTGCTGGTCACGTGTTTGTTTCTTTCGCTTGTGGATTGATCAAACAGGACGGAATAATCTTTCTTTAATTTACTTACAAAGTAATTGATTGGGTTTTTTTTTTAATATATGTATTATTTTCAATATTCTAAAGTGAATTACGACGCAGTGCATGCTAAACGGGTATTATGGCGAAGGATTTTTCGGTTAGACCAGCGTTTCCCAAACGGTGTGGTCCGTGGACCGGCACCGGTCCGCAAGTCTTACGTTACCGGTCCAGGGAGCATGAATATTGATGTTTAAATAGAAAGAAAAATGTAATTAATAAATCTGGCACCGGTTCTCGGTGCAGTTCCGAAACTTGTCCACCGGTCCGTGGAAACTGAAAAGTTTGTGGAAACGCTGAGTTAGGCGACGATGTTTTCGTACCAACATCAGTATGACAGTAAACACGGTAAAGATATGCTAGCAGCTCTGCATGCTTGAATGATTCTCAATAGTTCCATTTTAAAACAAGTGCTTTATAATTGGAGCTATCTAGAAGAATCTTCGAAATCGATTTACAGAAGTACGAAAAATCCAACTTGATTGCTAAAGCCGTGCGACATGTTGCTCTGAGGGCTGCCAGAACAACAATGCTAATAGTTGGTCAGTCGAGATCGACTATGACCACTTGAAACATCGTACATGTTAATTGTGAACTTGGCTGGGTGGGGGGGGGCGCAGATGGCTGATGAGACTGATTGCGGCACGAAATGTTACTTGGCAGAAAGAGCTGTGGGCTACTCATGGGACATCTCTGGGTCCAGAGTCAACAGAATAGTGTGCAGCTTGCAAGGATATTTCGGAACTTAGAAAAACGATTGCATTTTTCTTCGATCTTTGTCAAATAATTGTAACGTTTAAATGAGTAATCAAATTTTCAAGAAAAGACAAAAAATAGCAACATTGGGATTATGATGTCCTCAATTTTAGAGATATTTCCATGAGAGTCACAGAGCACAAGTCATTTTCTGACATATTTTATCATGTTCAGTATTTCCTTCCTAAATGTCTCATTTTAAATGTAACCAACCTTAGTCTTACTGCCAGAAATCTTCTGTTTTCGATTTCATCATCATAAACATCATCATCATCATGTCCCTTAGCCCATGGACCATTGGGGCGCCACAGATGACATAAAAATTATCCATCTCCATTCCTCTCTGTTTTCTGCACTTCGCACAGCATCGTCTAATTTTAGTCCCGTCCACTTTTTGATGTTATCTTCCCATCTTTTTCTATGTCTTCCTCTTCTTCCCCCTCCACTCGTTGTGCCCTGCATGGTTTCTTTGGTGAGCCCATGGTATCGATTTACTTATGTTTAATAGCATATCATATCTGTAAGTACTTAAAACATGTTTGACTGGTAAAAATTATGGCCCCAATATCGATGGAATTCTCTCTCTTTCTCTCAGTTCCTCTCTCTATCTCTCACTCTTTCTATTTCCCTTTCTTTCTTCCTCCAACACAATTTCTCTCTCTCTCTCTCTCTCTCTCTCTCTTAAGATAGCTTTTTCGGTTCACCGTAACGTAACTTCATTGGTTTGAATGATATAAATTAGAGAAAATATAACAGACATTTTCAAAATCATAATATACTATATTTACATACACATCAACAATTGGAGGGAATCAGTTTTAAAAAATGTATACATATTTTATTTAATAATGGTACACAATGAACAAAAGTTTGATACATGAAATTTGTGTACAGTATTTGAACATTTCTGTATATAATAAATAGATGTATCCAAGTTTGTGTTGACGGCATATTGACCACAAAAAAAAAAAAGTTTGAAAAAAATATAATGAATGTTTAATTAAGATGACAATTGAAATGTTTATTTCAGCCTATTTGCTTGTCTTTTTTATTGTGTGACTATACTTGTGTGTTTTTGCTTTTGTGCTTAAACCTGTGTGTTTATACTTTTGTGTTAATACTTTTATGTGTGTTGATACTTGTGTGTTGATACGTGTGTGTTTATACTTGTGTGTTTTTACTTGTGTGTTTGAGCTTGTGTGTTTTTGCTTGTGTCTTTATACTTGTATGTTTATAAATCTGTGTTTATACGTGTGTGTTTATACATGTGTTTTACACGTGTTTGTTTATAAGTGTGTGTTTATACTTGTGTGTTTACACTTGTGTGTTTATACAATGTGTTTATACGTGTGTGTTTATTGTTTATACGTGTGTGTTTATACGTGTGTATTTATACTTGTGTCTTATTACTTGTGTCTTTATACTTGTGTCTTTATACTTGTGTCTTATTACTTGTGTCTTTATACTTGTGTCTTTATACTTGTGTCTTTATACTTGTGTGTTTTTTGCTTTCCTTGAGTCTGTCAATGTGCTTTCGTTCTCAGCAGCAACTTCTCGGACAACTGACACTCGCCATGTGAGTTGGCCACCAGCACCACGAACTGGTAGTCCGTGTCAGGGTACAGTCCGGCTATCCGATGTACGTCTTGCCCCTGCATCGCCGCCCCTGTCCACACGTTGTGGCCCCGGGCCGCCTCCTCTCTGCACATCAGCGCGTAAGACAAGTCAGGCTGGTTCACCACGCGCGGACGGGGACAGTTGACTTCGGCGGACGTGGAGGTCGCATGACACAAAGTCTCCAAGATCACTGGAACTGTTGAAACAGAGAGAGAGCATTAACACGGATAACACTGTGAAGCAAGTTGAACGGTGTTCATGTCTGTCGCTTTGTGGCATTCGTGTGTATCTGTGTGTATCACTGAGATAACTCATAAACATATGATATTAATACCATGTCAGGAGATCAACATTCAAGTTTATATACAGATTTAAAGAAAGATTAGTAAGGGCCGAATCACTACTAGAAAAATCTTACCAATATTTATTCGCAAACAATTTAAGAAGGGGATTAATTGAATTTACCAATATGTGACGATGACGGGAAAAAAAATAATTAAAGGGAGGCAATTATGATTTGTCTCTGGGGGCACACAAATTTATTTTTCGATTGTCTCCCATTGTTTAAAAAAAGGGGAAAAAAAAAAAAAAAAAAAAAAAGAAAAAAAAAGAAGAAAAAAAACGACAAAAACTAGACTACATTTTTTTTTCAATTAACCACATGAAGACCATCTACTTCACACAGCATTTAGCACTATAATAGTCCAATGGATGCCATGAGCACTATAATAGACCAATGGATGCCATGAGCACTATAATAGACCAATGGATACCATGAGCACTATAATAGACCAATGGATACCATGAGCACTATAATAGACCAATGGATATCATGAGCACTATAATAGACCAATGGATATCATGAGCACTATAATAGACCAATGGATACCATGAGCACTATAATAGACCAATGGATACCATGAGCACTATAATAGTCCAATGGATGCCATGAGCACTATAATAGACCAATGGATACCATGAGCACTATAATAGACCAATGGATACCATGAGCACTATAATAGACCAATGGATACCATGAGCACTATAATAGACCAATGGATGCCATGAGCACTAAAATAGACCAATGGATACCATGAGCACTATAATAGTCCAATGGATACCATGAGCACTATAATAGACCAATGGATACAATGAGCACTAAAATAGACCAATGGATACCATGAGCACTATAATAGTCCAATGGATGCCATGAGCACTATAATAGACCAATGGATACCATGAGCACTATAATAGACCAATGGATATCATGAGCACTATAATAGACCAATGGATACCATGAGCACTATAAAAGACCAATGGATACCATGAGAACTATAATAGACAAATGGATACCATGAGCGCTATAATAGACCAATGGATACCATGAGCACTATAATAGACCAATGGATACCGTGAGCACTATAATAGATCAATGGATACCATGAGCACTATAATAGACCAATGGATACCATGAGAACTATAATAGACCAATGGATACCATGAGCACTATAATAGACCAATGGATACCATGAGCACTATAATAGACCAATGGATACCATGAGCACTATAATAGACCAATGGATACCATGAGCACTATAATAGACCAATGAAAACCATGAGCACTATAATAGACCAATGGATACCATGAGTACTAAAATAGACCAATGGATACCATGAGCACTATAATAGACCAATGGATACCATGAGTACTATAATAGACCAATGGATACCATGAGCAATATAATAGACCAATGGATACCATGAGCACTATAATAGACCAATGGATACCATGAGCACTATAATAGACCAATGGATACCATGAGCACTATAATAGACCAATGGATACCATGAGCACTATAATAGACCAATGGATACCATGAGCATTATAACAGACCAATGGATATCATGAGCACTATAATAGACCAATGGATACCATGAGCACTATAATAGACCAATGGATACCATGAGCACTATAATAGACCAATGGATACCATGAGCATTATAACAGACCAATGGATATCATGAGCACTATAATAGACCAATGGATACCATGAGCACTATTATAGACCAATGGATACCATGAGCACTACAATAGACCAATGGATACCATGAGCACTATAATAGACCAATGGATACCATGAGCACTATTATAGACCAATGGATACCATGAGCACTATAATAGACCAATGGATACCATGAGCACTATAATAGACCAATGGATACCATGAGCACTATAATAGACCAATGGATACAAACTCATTTAGGAGACTGTCTATGAAATTGAATGTTAAATAAATTTGTATTTTGAGTAATCAAGAACATCCGATGGTAGATTCCTGGCCGGAGAAAGGACTAAACTGTTGTACCTGGCACCACACAGTCGCGAGGGTCCAGCGTCCTGCACTGCACGACGTCACTGTCTGGGCCTCTGACGTCATGGCACCACGCGACGGCTCTGAAGAAATAGGTGGTGGCACGACAGGCGTTGTCTACGAT